AAGTAATTTAATTTTTTGGTATTTTTTAGCAGAGGAACATTGAAACTTTAAGTTTCTTCATATTTCACGATTTGAATTTACAGTGAAATTCAGTGAAACTAGCAATCATTTCATTCGATACATCAAACCAAACAAATTTAACGCTAAGAATCAATTTTTGCTCAATCAATTGCAGCTGATTGCGGACGCTCCACCGATAATCTTTGTGATATTCCATTGGCTTATACCCCTGCTGGAAGCTGCACCAATTCTAACATCATTTACTGCAACGTATCCACCAGCTTTAAACACAGTGTTGTTGCCAGATGATGTCTTAGCGGTATCTCTCTTATAAGCTAACATTTTAGAAAAATAATTGCTCATTTTATTCAGCGTGCTAATCTTATCTCGGTGATTACTGTTGTGATATGGTTTATAGTTTGTGCACTATGTTACATTCCAGTGCTTCTACAGCTGCTGCGGAGCAACGTCCTGGTCAACAGGTAAAAATTAAAAATAACCTCATCTCTTTGTAATTTTTGCTTACCCAGGGGCAAAAAGTAGCGATCAAGTTGACAGAAGTGAAAACTGTTTATAAGTATCATTTTGCATAGTTATCTTCAGCTGAAACAGAAATGACTGAAATAGGGTCAAACTTAAAAGGAGCATGAGTAGTGACAGATTGATAATAGGTATCATCTAATCAATAGACTGTCAAGAATTTGAACGCCAAATTCTGTGAATTAAACTTTTGAGCTCTCCACTGCTTCTCTAAAAAAATGCAGGGTTATTAAGATAAATGAACTTATCAAAAAGTATTTTAGGAAAAAACGAAACGAGGTTCGACTTAGCATTCAAGTGGTTGGTCTAATGATTGCATTTCTGCTTGTCTTTGTATATCATATTGGTCAATACATCATGCTTCAATCTAGTCCAGTAAGTTTGCGAATGGAACAGTTTTGGTAGATTATAATAGCTCAACATACGCATTCTTTAACTAAAACCCCGGTTCAAGAATAAGTAGTTGTCGCATTTGTGAGTCGTTGCAAAAGTTCGTGCTATCTCTTGCAGTTCAAACTCCAAAAAACCTCAACTTTCTGCAGCTATATGTTATATGAAAAATAGATGTTTTCCTCTACAAGATTGTACACATGCTCATCTACTGAATTCAATTCTATCATCAAAAGTGACTGAAAATGTTCAAACAGCAACTTAGTTTTTGGAATGCAGGAAGCGACTAGGTAGCTGTTTTGTGGTGTGATCAAATATGTTTACTACAATATACCTCTCCACCCCCTGTAGGATTTGTAGCCTAAAAGTGCGTGCTATATGGTCAGAATGACGGGTTAGTCTCAAAAGTGGCCCAGTGGGGTTAACTGACGCATTGATTACAGACGTACTCACATCATGCAGCCCTCCTGCAAATTAGGATGGACAATGGAAGATTCAAAATAACTGATATACTCAAAAGGGAAAATTGGAAATCTGCTTCGCGAAGTGGCTTACCAGAGCAGTAGCTATGGTCCTCTTAAGCAGCATGTCAGTTAACTCCATTAGACCACATTTAGGCAAATCACGGATTCGACCCTACAGCTATACCTATGGTAGTCCTACCCAGGACCTATAGGTAATGGTCGTGATTTTCAAAAACAGCACGATGAACCGCATAGTCCCAAAAAATCAAGCTGCGGTTGAGCTTTTTTGACATCTGAAAATGTTTTTTTTCTTAAAAAAATCTTAAATCTTAAATCTTAAATCTTAAATTATAATCTTAATATAAATATAATCTTATCTTAAAAATCTTAAATT